GTTGCGATTTGTGATGAATCGAATACCCTAGGAACTGCAGGTCTTGCGATGGTACTAGGTCCGACTTGCGTAAGTTTACTAACCAACCTAGTTGTGTTAGTAGCTTTATGATGTAATTTAACTGTAGTTTGAGCGCAGTGGATCTTGATCTATCTTGTATCCCGTCGTCGAGGTAAACGCACTGCGTAGCCCTTGGCGATGTAGAGGGTGATAATCGGCTTTTCGTTATCCTCAGTGAATAGCCAGGGGCTGATGATATTCGAATGGGAGTACTTTCCACTGGTAATGTAGCCCTTCTAGAGTAAATGGATTAGGTATTTCCTGGAATCGGGATGAATGGGGATGTGCAGGTAGGCATCCTGTAGATCTATGCTGCCCATGTAGTCCATAGGACGAATCATCTGGCGTAACTGAGGTAAATGTATCATCGCGAAACTTCGATTGGTTTGCGTAGATAGTTCTTGTTGAAAAAGCTCATGTTGTAGATGAGTCTGTATTTCTCCGTGGAGTTTTTTTTCTTGGGAACTAGGAAAACTGGAAGTAGAAACCTGGTTCGACGTTTGTTTGATCTATTACTTCTATGGCCTGTTTGGATAGGAGTGATGAAACAGCCTCTCTTATCTTTGGTAGTTGCTGGCTTATGTAATCGAACTTGGGGGTTTGATTGTCAGCGGAGGCTTGGCCTGTAGAGGATACGGAGAAACCGTGTTGGAAGAATGTTGGAGAGCGTACGGTCTTGCAATATTCCCCAGTTTTCCCAGTGTAGTTGAGCAAAGCCCACCCACTTGAGCTGGCTGTACTGGAACGGCTGGGGGTGGAAGACTCCAGTCGTTCGAACCTGTGTTTCAGCTGCCTATAATTGCGGGAACCTCTGGGGTGTCCTGCCTCTTCCTGATCCTCCTCTATAGTTGCCATATAGGGCTTGATTTTAAAGAATCTTTACCTCTAGAGCTGGCTATCTTCCTGTCTCTTGCTCTTTGTAGGCCCGTGAACTTAGATCTGCCTGAGTATCTTTGTGAAGTCTGATCGAATGACGCTGGCTAGTGTGTCCATCGATCTAATCATAAGGGACTTCCCTGGAATCCTTAGAGACTTCATGGCGACTTTGGATTTCTCCGTCAAAGATGGATGTTGTCGACCACGGGGGCTGTATATAAAGTGGGGCTGTAAAGTTCTCCCCAAGTACAGGGAGGCGAGGAGGCCTTGACGACGAGCTAAAGGTCAAGTGCTGCTGAAACAGATGTAAGATGATCCGTTAAAAACTGCTGATCTTTCTTTGCATAAGTAAGGCAGAATAAATCATTCTATCATCTTCCGTCGTGGAATCCCGAATCTAGTAATAAGAGTCTCATTGATCGTCCTAGATCTATTTAACCCAAAGACATACCGCCTCGCCATGGTTTCTATATGATGCCACCAACGATCATCCATCTTGTAAATCTTGTTCTTTACATCGGCTGATGATCTTTATAGTTCTCATCGAGCGTCCTGGGCCTTGTAGAAGGAGTCCATGTTATCGCGTGGAAACTTCTTGGCTTGAAAGTTGGAGCAGATGTGGTATCTGAACTTTCGTAGCTTTCTGGAAAGCTGCATCTAGATTCTGTTGGCGCCGCCTAATGTCGAGATCGTCGGGGTAGAGTGATTGCATCTGGATCATCTTCCTTCATCAAATACGTCATGCTTCGTATTGCCACTTTTAGATGGTGATGTGAGATCTAGGTTATTGACCATCAGCGTCACCGTATCTCTGCATCAGAAAATATGATTCCTCCATCATCCTCAAAACCATCATCATTAACAAATTGTAGATGCTCTTAGGGACCGCGTGTAGCTGTCTGTATATCTGATGAGGTTTGTGGCGATCTAGTTGACTTGCCCAATGCGCCGCTCTATGGAGATCTGACGGGTGATCGACCTGGTGATGAAGCGAAGTGGAGATCGCCTATGGATGATCTTCACCGAGACTTGTGAGGTGAATGTTGATAGCCAGCGAAGCTTCTCGGCAGTCCCTCGATGTTCTTCTAGATGATGAAGATCTGGAATCATGGCGTCCTCGCGAATGCCTTCGCCTGCTTCATTTAAGGCCCGGTCCGGGGGATCGATGATATGACCTTAGCGAAAGGCTTCCGTGATGTCTGATGGTCTGAGTCCATATCTAGAGATGAAATCGAAGATGGTGATGATCTCTCCGCCTTCTCGCCAAGGCCTTGAAGCTAAGGCTGTACATCTAGGTCCTTCGTCAAGGTAGTCTTGGACTTCTTCGAAGGTGACATCGCCTTGGCTGCTACGTTAATGAGGGGAATTGCCTCTGGGGTGTTGTTCACGCTGGAGCCTTCGCTGGTTTCGGACCTGCTTCGGCGAAGTTTGTAGTGGTCCTCCATGATGTTCATAATCTGCCGCATCATGTCTTCTGGGATGATCTGTATCGAGAAGTCGTCGGCGTCTTTTTCATAGCGATGGGGTTCACATCAATGACGTCTGGCGTCGGCGTAGAGGCATCAGGCTGCATGGTGATCTCTGAAGTCACCCGGTCAGCTGACACCGGTCGCTTCTTCTGCGTAAGTGGGGATGATTATCGGCTGATCATCGTGAGGCCCAGTTCTGCTGCTGGAGACGATCTCGGCTGAGAAAGTTCTTGCTGTCTTCGTGAGATTTCCCTTGGAAGTCTGCGCTGCCCTGGGTGTCCTCAATCTGCGTTGAGAGACGACGATGAGCCCTCTTAGACTTGGTCTGCAATGGCCGAGATGTCTGGGAGAGGCGGTCGTTTCTTCGAGTAGCGGATCGTCCACGTCCTCTGCCGCAGGGGTCTCTAGCAGAACACCAGGCGGGAGAGGGTCGATCGCTAGCAGCTGACTGGATGGAATATCTGGACTCTCTGCCATGTTTTGCCCTTGTTTGCGTGATCTATCTGCAGCACGTCTTAAAGGCCGCAGAAAGATGATATTTGGTAAATGCAGAATGAGATAAATTAATGCAGTAACTGCAACGTGAATTAAACGCGGCGAGAACAACTAGGGCATATTACATGTGGATGGGAGGCAGAAAAGCGTAATCTACAAATCGTACAGATTTTCATCAGCAAAAATATATGTCTATCTGTCTACATAATTCTGCTATCTTTAGGCATGAAATCCATACAAATATTGATTTTGTAAGTCAGGTTGGCCACATGGGGGAAAATAGTAACATTTGACAGCTGTTTCCCATCTCACAGGTATGTGGGGGATTCACACCTGGTGTGGTGTAAAGCCTACTAGTGTCATATCTCTATGTGGGTCATGTAAGTAGTTTTTATCACCATTAGGCCAAGCAAAGTTGCTTCTTGTTGTGGGCCAGATGAAATTTAGTATAAGAAAATAAACAGAAATACAACAAACATTGATTGGAAGTGACTATATACGAAGTATGAAGGTATTAGTGAATGCTTTTGTTTTTGTTCCTGTCTTTGTTATTTGAAAAAGGTCACGAAAAAGTTATATACAGATAGACATAAATCTTCACTCAATGATAACATGTAGTTAACATGTAACAATGAAGATCTGGGTTAGAACTGATTGTCTAAAACCCTTTCTTGTTATACAACGTAACTAATAGGTTCAGGTGGACATACCCATGAAGGTCCGGATTAGAATATTCATCTTCAGTAACTCATGCTTGTCGTACGAGGCGACTTACGGGATCGGGTGGTCAGGCTCGCTGACTTTGTTGACACATGTCATCGGTTCCCAGTTGCGCAGATTGATGCTCATGCTGTTGATCACTGGATTGTCTGGTCCAGACTCGATTATTTCCAGACCTCCGCCATATAGCTGGAATATTGCTGAGTGTGGCGTAAAACTAAACTCACTCACTCAGGTGGACGCATGTCATCGCATCCCAACTACTAACATCGATGCTCATGATGTTAATCACTGGTTAGTCTGGTCCACACTTGCTTGTTTCCATAGTGATATGCTACATGTATTATGAGTATGGTGTTCACCAACAAACTAACAAACTAGGTTAAGTATGACAGGAGAAGAGATTGACTGAGATAATAAGGCAGTAAATCTATCCTACACTTCTGCTGCAAGGTCAAGACTCTACAGGGATTTTATTTACATGAGATCAGAGGCAGATATTCAGCAGTCTGCAGCAAATGACACTATAAGTGAGGTGAGGTGAAATTGGGTTTAACGTCATGCTTGAAATGCAAATGTCTGAAATTCAGAGAATATTAGAAACCAATCTTTATCCAAGAAAATCGCTTCTTACAAGTGTGAAAAATACTCGAATTTTGGGCATCAGGATACAGTGATATTGTTGATGTTCAGAGCTTTAACAAATGATGCTTTATAATTTTTCATATTATCCCGACATCAAAGTATTCGATTTTCGCTGTTACGCATGTTATTCATACAATGGCTAGTCAAATAAAAGGTGGTTGGAGGTATTTTCCGTTGTTGTGTCATGTTACCGGACACGGAGGAAAAGCCACTTACCTGACTTATGATATCGGGAAATAGGCGCGAATGTTATTGAAAGACCATACATATTATTTAAGAAATCTTTTATAATAATTTTCTGATTAGTTGCTGACGTAAAGATGAAAATATAAAGAAAAAGTCAACCTAGGGCATGTTATGACATGTCACAAATGGAACAAAATCGCCATAGTTTTGCTTCTTTATTCGTGGTTTATCTGGACGATATAAATGTAAACTTGCATTTTCATTAAAAAATAAATTTATTTAAGTTGTAGTTGTATTATTTGAATTGTATTATAAAAATAAACTTCATATTTATCAACAGTGGGATTAGATCTTTTAAATGGTGTATGAGATGTGGTAGTAATAACGTTTTACAAGCTTATAATTTCCTTCATAAACATAGGCTTCATTTATGACCTTAGAGTCTCTGGGAACTCGGTGTCATGGCAGTAAATGCCTCTGGTGTGACTGGTGTTGAAAGAGTTAATTACGATAATAATTGCAGCAAAATGTGGCATTCGGTGTACATACCTCCACCTATGTCAGCATAGAGCACGTATCTGAGGTCCTTCACCCAGCTCAGCCTTTCTTCTCCTGATGAGGCACATAGCGTCACTGTCTCCCCGCTTCCTGCCTCAAGTCTCGGACCTGATGATTTAACACAACAGAAATACAGTTAATAATGATTAAAACAAACTCAAAGGGACCACTAATATTATTAAAATCTAAATATTTTAGATATTTAAATACTTACCTTACCATAGGTCTTATACATATTACCTCAATCTCCGCTTAAAAGAGATCAGACAGTCGTTGATTCGCCATTCTCTAGAATGGCTGCCTCAAGTATCGACGAGTGTACAGGAACAGAAGTGATGTGATCTTTCCTCTCCGCGCAAGCGTTGTCTATCCAAAAATCACTTTTACTGACCAGGTCCGAAGAGCCCAGAGAGGGGAGGAGCATCCAGCGTTGGGAGGGAGCTACCGCCCTATGGTAAGGTTAGTATTTAAATATCTAAAATATTTAGATTTTAATAAATTTTTAACTGACCTTACCATAGGTCTTATGCATATGGATTCGACAGTAGGATGGCGGTGTTAAGCTCCAGAGGACCGTCCCATAAAGAACAAGTGTTTGCCACTGATATGGCAATGTCCCCCGTCGCTAAAGAATGGAATATCTATATTTACTACTTTTTATTTTTGGGTCACATACAAGATGCCTGAAATGAATGGTGTCTGCATAATCACCCAATGTAGGCTGTCAACATACTTGAAAACATTGGGTGCAATGTTTTATGAGATATCGCCTTTAAAAAACGGTCAAAGTATTGTGGTGACCTTGAAGATAAGGTCAAGGTCACCCAAATAAACTGGTGTCTGTGTAATACCCCAATGTAAACTGTCACCAAATTTGAAGACATTGGGTACAACAGTCCATGGTGACCTTGAAGATATCAAGGAGTTAAAAGTTTGAAAAGTCAGTGTCATGGTGACCTTGAAAATAAGGTCAAGGGTACAACAAATATGACTGTTAACAACAGTCTGCATAATCCCCTAATGTAGGCTGTCACCAAATTTCAAGACATTGGGTACAACAGTTCATCAGATATCGCGTTAACAAGAATCGGGACGTACGTACGGACGGACGCTGCTGAATACATAGTCCCCGTTCCGCGTTGCGGCAGGGGACAAAAACAAGACCACATGCCAAGGGAAACACAGAAAACTAACTGAATCGGCAGACTGTCGCAGGAAGCACCTGGAACAAGAAGTAACCCACGGAAACCCTAAGGAAAACAATACACCCAGGGCGTAAGTTATCCTTAAGACCAGAAGGTTTGGAGAAGTAGTTACCTAATGGGCGCTAGGTCAGGTGAGTTGCTGGGCAACCACCAGTGGCCCAAAGGATTGAAGACCTTCAGCATCCTCGACGGCCAAATCCCGCAGGTAGTGGCTAGCGAAGACAGTAAAGGACTTCCAGAAGCATCCCTCCATGATGGCTGGAACGGTGCAGTTCCTATGGAGAGCCATGATGGACACCAGGGCCCTAATCTCGTGTGGGTTATTGGCTGTAAGATGAGGCAGATCTAGTGCATCGTAGGCAGCCAGGATGGTCGTACGTAGCCAGAGCGCAATAGTATTTCTATTAATTTCACCTTTTGCCGCAGAGGAAAACGGGATGAACAGTCTCTTGCGAGACTGCCTCCTGGATGATGATTTGGCAATATACATCATAAGAGCCCTCACAGGACAAAGCTTCTGTTCCTCAGAATCGTGGGGTCCTAAAATGGAAGACAATGGAGGAATGGAGAACATTCTGTCCAGTTGTCCTGGCAGCTGGTTCTCAGCCACGAAATCCCAAAGCAGTCCCAAAAGAACAAGACCATGCCGCGACTGCTCAAAACGCACCCTATTGACATCCAATGCGTGGATCTCACTGACCCTAGCCGCCGTGGCCAGGGCCAAGAGAAAAGCTGTCTTTCTGGAGAGGTTCTCGAATGAAGCAGTGTCCAAGGGCTCTCAGATGCCAGAGAACGATGTAAAGGTCCCAAGCAGGAGGACGAAACTTTGCCTTCTGGTCCTCCAGAAAGCTTTGTGAATCATGCGCATTTTCACTGAGTCTTTCTTGGGAACCAGGAAGATGGGTGAGTAGAACCCCGGGGACTGTTGCGGGTCTAGCACTATCTCTATAGCTTCTTTGTGGAACAGAGTCTGAATGTTGTCTGCTAGCAGTAACTGTTGGTCTGGGGCGTTGTAGTCAGAGGCGGCGACATGGCGATTGGCATCTTGTAACCGGTCTTGAGAATGTTGGTGACAAACGGTTCTTCTAGGACTGTCCCGCCTACTGGAATAGGACAAACCGACACGGTTGGGGGTGGGAGGTCCCAGTCGTGTTGGTTTCAAGCTTCAGCGACCTGAGTAAGGGCGCTTCCCCCTACCCCTGCCAGGCGTCAAAGGGGGCTCTCCGGGACGGTCCTGCTGATGGCGTTGAATGTCGGGGTCGGACCGCCCACGGCCACGTCCTCAGAAAGGCGAAACTCAGAGCTCGAAAGTAGATAGGGACACCTCAGTATTAGTAAGCTCTGTGTGTTCCTTATAAACCTCCAAAATCCAGTCATCAAAGAGGAAGCAAAACGCGAAAGGGGCTCTCAACAGCTTTCTTTTGAACTCTTCCTGCCAAGAGCAAGGCTCCAGGAACCCCATCCGCTGAACAACAGTCGTCATGACCAACGCCGTCCGAAGGTGTGCCAGTAAATCATGTAACACCTTACCCTGCCATTGGAACAGGGTGGTAAGGTGCTCTTTCCTCGATGCATTGTCTTCAGTCAAGTCCAAAGCTGCAGCCGAAGTTGCAGATGCCAACGCCGAAACAGGTTTCAACATCCTCTTGAGCTCTGCGTCAATAGCCAACATCTTAGAGTCCTGCACTCGGTAAGAAGACTGTGGAAAACCCGATAAACGTTTGAGGATTCATCATGAGCCGCACCTCCATCAGCGAAATCCAAGCTATGTATTTTGTAGTCCCCTTTGCGAGACTTAGGAGCCTTAATAGTAGTATTGAGAGACAGTTTAGCAAAGTCGGCATCCAAAGAGGCCACAGCAGCGGCCACCATCGGGTGAGGCGGAGGAGTAACTCGGGAGAAGTCCTAATAGCTCTCAGGTCATCAGAGCCTGAAGAGGGAGAAGGACAATCCGGCAGTCTGTCGGCAATCCAGTCAAACACAGCAGATAGGGGGAGGTAAGTACCCCTATCATCTTCCTCTTGTAACATCTAGAGAAAAATAGCGCTCCTCAGCATCCTCCCAGGACACGGTAGGAGCATTATACCATTGGCCAGAAGCAGCAGGCGTTGGGCGCTCAGATGGAAGCTGAGAAACAGCACTAAAGGTAACTGTAGGGGAACGTGGTCGTCGGGGCAACTTTGAATGGGACCGACAGTAGCGCCTCCCACAAGTTGGTGACCTTGAACGCCTCCCTATCATTGGGATGTCTGGGAGAGCGAGACCTGGAATCAGAACGACGACGGCGATGACTAGTATCAGAACAATGACGAGGATTTCTAGAACGATGGCGCTGTCCATGAGACCTAGAGTGAGACCGCTTAGAACGACAAGAGCGCTCGGCTTCCTGGCGTCGGGAACGCTCTTCCAATGACTGACGCTGTAAATCCTCCTCTCAAGACAACGTAGACACAGGTGCCTCCTTGGGGATACGGTAGTCTGACAACGGCGTTGGCGTTGGCGTCGGGGAAGGCTGGTTGATGCAACAATCCAGCAACGCCAAGGCTAGGTGTCACGGCCGTCGGCGCTGGAACTGCACTAGGCAACGCAGCTGTTGGCGCTGGGACAGCGGTAGGTAACGAGGGTGTCGGCGCTGGAACAGCGCTAGCTTGGGCTTCAACTGCTGAAGGCAAAAGGAGCGTCCTTAGAAGCTTCTGTATCTCCGGATGAGATAAGGCGTCAGACGTGGCACAGGTGGCACAGGTGGCATACGTGGCATACGTGGCACAGGTGTAGACGTCTGTTCTGCTAAAGGAGAAGAGCGTCCGAAGCAGGTGAAGACATCTTCCTCTTACGCTGTGACAACCGTATCTTCTTGGCAGCGGTATAAGCCTTAAAATCGGCGACGGTCAACGGAGTACAAAAATGACAGCGCTCAGCAAGTGAACAGGCCACAGTACCGCAGTCTGGGCACCAAGGGTGGGGATCCTTGGCAGACATCTGCACCTTGCAGATACAGCAAAACTGCCGGGTCATGCACAGAAAGGCTGTAACACACGAAAAAAAGTGTAACGTAAATGCTACGTAAACACACAGAAAACAGCCCCCCTGCAAAGAAAATGGAAACAGTCCTGCAGCAAGAATGGGCACGCCCAAGCAGGCGGAACACTAGAGTAAACAACCAAGATGGCTGTCCCCAAAAAGAGCCGAAAAGAGCGTGAAAACAAGCACAAATTAGGCAATAATATCAAGATACACAAAACCAAGAGACAGAGACATAGGAGAATACAAAACACCAAACATGCCCAGTGGAGTGATATTCGTGACGTGGGAACACACCCCACACCGAAGTGAGAGACACGAGGCAGCCAGGTAAGTGAAGTTTACTTTAATTATGTTCTTCACCTACACAGAGAAGAATATAGGATATAAAAAGCATACATACCAAAAACAAACAAGAACTTTAAGATCTGAAAGTATCAGTGAGTAGCAAACTAGCGAAATAAAAAAACGTCTGTCACGCAGTACGCTTGAAGTAAAAGTGATTTTTGGATAGACCGCGCTTGCGCGGAGAGGGGAGATCACGTCACTTCTGTTCCTGTACACTCGTCGATACTTGAGGTAGCCATTCTAGAGAATGGAGAATCAACGACTGTCTGATCTCTTTTAGGCGGAGTTTGAGGTAATATGCATAAGACCTATGGTAAGGTAAGTTAAAAATTTAGTTTATACTAATATTACAATACACATTTTGAGGAAAATATACAGAAAGTGGTCCTGAAAAAAAAATAAAAAGATTATTATTTTGTAGGTCAGTTTGTTATAAACATAGTTTACTGTACAAATATTCCAGTCATTTAGTAATGGTTTGTCCATAACTGAGACCTGAACCAGTCCAACCAGTGATGAACTGCATGAGCAACAATCCATGCCAGGAAACAATAAGCCAGGTCACATGTTGCAACCACCTGTTCCACCTTATAACCCATAAAGATCCGGGTTAGAATTGTTTTTTCGCAAGAGGCGACAAACTGGATCGGGTGGTCAGAATCGCTCACTTGGTTGACACCTTCGTATCCCAATTGCATAGATCGATACTCATGCTGTTGATCACTGGATCGTCTGGTCCAGACTTGATTATTAACAGACCGCCGGCATATAGCTGAAATATTGCTGAGTGCAGCATAAAACTAAACTCACTCTTATAGTTGCTCTACCAACTTGCAGGACATGAAGATCCGGGTTAGAATTGGTCTTCAGCAACCCTTGCTTGCTGTAAGAGTTATTATCCCTAACTAACAGTGTACTTCTCTACGCTTGCCTGGTTGAAGACTGAACAATACATTGACTGTTTCATCAAGGCTGATAATCTGTTTTACAACCATACTGTCAGTAACTGTTAATACACGTTAGCTCACCTGGTACAAGATCAAAGCAGAACTTCTCTGGCTCGTCCGGACTAACAGGATGCTCGGTGACTTTGTGGCTACCACTTGTCAGAAAGTATGAACTCTGAGGCCTAATATCATCCTCTTTGCTGAACTGAAACAGCATCTTGTCCGAGAGAACAAACCAGCGCCGGTGCCAGATCTTCATCATTCCACCCTTCTTTTGAAGCCATCCCTTCCGAGACTTCCTCTGCAGACCCTTTAGGCTGGGTGGTATGGGGTTCATGTCTGGAATGACAGGGGATAGATACAGGCATTATGAGACGTTTAGTCTGGAATCTGATATTGAAGGTATCATACAAAATTAGGAGTCTATTTATAGAAATGTCAGTAAGATTTAGAGGTGTATTTATTAGTATTTTCTGTAACTCATGTTATATCAGCATGAACGAATAGAAGGTCTAACATAAATTATTGGCTTTGATACTTGCGAAAGAATATTTAACCCAAACAACATCTGAATAACAAGGTCAGAAAACAAGACAGGAGTGAAAACTAAACTGGAATATGGTTATTATTATCAAATGGAGTATTCTTTGTAAGATTAAGGGCATCAGGGTATAATATTTCGATTGTATTGGAAGATATACCCTGGATCCAAGCGCCAGAAAGGTTACTGATTATTATTTAGGATAAAAGATGTTTTAGATAAGTAGGCAGAGTTAGGCAGAACATAGAGTGCAAAGACCTTCTCCAAAACATTCCGTTAGTATTTCTTTTAATCTTGTGACATAGAAATAATATAAATATTAACACACAAACAAAAATAAATTCATAAAGTTCAACATTATCAATTTGATATACATGAATATGATTTCATTTTATCCAAAACAACAGAAAATTCGGGAATTAATTTATGAACAATAGATTTGTGAGGGGAAGTTCCTGTATCATAACTCATGACTAAATGCTATCTCAAGATCAATTTCAATTCCCTGTGACTCCAGACAGCAATGACTAATGAACAAAAATAAATGTCCTCATTTGGGAAATTTGATCAATTGGGCTATGAGATACACACTAGATTGACCTTAGTGAGTGACTGGGGTTGAAGTGACCCTTACTATAGCAGTTACCATGGCAATCTGCAAATTATTGCCGAGGTTAAGTGGCCAAACTAGTGGTTGACAGTATGAACTACATCATTAGTACAATGTCAACTGTAAATCCTTGGCAAAAATGCCACAAATACTCTGATGACATATTGTATTTGCAGCTACATATTAGCCTTTCTAACAACAAGCATGAAGTCCTATCTAATTGTTGTCTATAGAATGTTTAAAAAATGAATAAAATGGTATAATAAATTAGCATGTAATTTTGGTGGCTGAGTAAGACAGTCTGTGTGGTTTAATGCCCTATTGAAATGCCTCAGTGAATCAGCTTAAAGAGCCAAGAAACCTTGATGTTAAACAGGCCATTGACATTTACTGCACTGGTGAAACCTATATGATTTTGTATGGTGCAAATAAACCAAGAATAACAATCAGGGAAAATCTGAGATTATAACCCACAATCACTGGATTCTGGTGTGTCTAAGAAAGATAACTCTATTCAGCAAATGCTGCAACCTCAAGTGGACGTGTCCTTTCCGTGTTAACTGATTTGTGATTGACTGAGTCAATTTTAACATGTTTAATGTCTCTTTGAAGAGACTTCAGTAACATTACACTGAAAGAAGAGCCTGAGGAGATGCAGGTCTTAACGGTTTAAATGTAAACCCATGAGGTGAGGTGAAATTGGGTTTAACGTCGTGCTTGAGAATTTTTTGCTCATATGACGATGTGCATGCGTGTGTATGTGTAGGTGCGGCTGCTTGTACTAGCCCAGACTGAAGCTGGTTTTATAGTGCTAGCCCACTGAGATACCATGCCGCAGTGAAGCATGAATACCCCACTCAGACACATTATACTGACTCTGAGCAGACCAGTCCTTGATGTACCCATTAATGCCGGGCGCCAGGCAGGGACCAACAAGTACCATATTTTAACGTCTTTTAGTATGACGCAGTCGGGAATCGAACCCGCGACCTTCTGCTCTCTGGGCGGACGCTCTAACCACTACACCACGGAGGCGGTCTTGTAAACCCATGAGCTAAGTATGGTACTGACAAAACTTGAGACATAATCAGGGCTAACCATGATATAGAACCACAATCGTTAAAGTTTCAAACATGCCAAAGGGACACAACTCTACACAGCAAATGGCAGTACCTTAGTCCACTGGGCCACCCCCCTTCCTTAAACATACAATTAACTGTCAGGACAGTGAGGAAAAGATGAATACAAAACAATAAAGATGTTCATGTCAATAAAAATATGAATATCAGATGGCTAAGCTTCAAAAGAATTAACAGAATTATATTACAAAGCCATACATAGAGAAAAGTATGAATACATTTACAGGGTTAAAATGTAAGAATGAATACAAGTATGTTAGTACACACAAATATACAATAGACATAGCTATACAACATACAATACATTATATTTTTATTAGCAGTATATACATGGCTGAAAGCTGGACGCACATCTGGAAATAACAAGTTCTTAATACACAGAGGGAACAACCAATGACAAACAAATCTAACTATTAGCTAAAACATTAACGATATCTGAAAAAAAAAAAAAGAGAGGCATTTATTAACAAACAAATTTGAACTATTACATAGATCGTGCAACTTAAAACATTAAAAAAAAATGATATATATTATTTTAATATTTTAAAGATGATTTATACAATATCTGTGAGTCTGTATAAAAGAAATAAAAAATTTCTAAGTTATATTCTATTAGCTGTTAGTTCTATGGACAGTGAGCACTAGATCTTCATTGCTGGGTTGGCTATTGGGGATCAGTAGAGTATCTATACAAGTACTGGTATTTATCCTGTCTTTTGTACATGACTGCACTGAAACGTGATCAACTGAACTGGTGAGCTGTACAAGCACAATGATCAGATTACATAATCTTAGTTCAACAGATCACACCATAGTTATAAAGTGAGTGAGTTAGTAAGTTGGCTTTTAAGCCACTTTTAGAAATATTCCAGCAATATCACGGTGCAGAACACCAGAAATGGGCTGTACACATTGTACCTATGTGGGGAATCGAACCCGGGCCTTCGGTGTGAGGACCGAATGCATTAACCACTAGGCTACCCCATCGCCCCTCCATGGTTTAAAAAAAAATGCAAGATAATTTCCTTTCTAAAAGACAAGAGTGAGTGAGTGTGTGAGAGACTGAGGTGGTCTTTACACTTCTTTTAGCAATATTCCAGCAATATCACAGCAGGGGACATCAGAAATGGGCTTCACACATTGTACCCATGTGGGGAATCAAGCCCAATTTTCAAGTAAATGCTTTAACCACTGGGCTACCCCACCGATACAAACACACAATGCTTTACCCAGAATGTGGGTAAATGTAAAATATGTTATATATGGGATTATACTGTTAAGTGGAACTCAAGTAAACAAGAAAATTTGGATGGAATGTGGTTCACAAATATTAACAGAATACGTTAAGTATTAATTGTAAATAACAAAAGATCATATAAAAAACATTACTACAGTGTACACAACATATAAAAAGTAGATGAGGATCCCTTTGTACTGCTAACAAATTGGAACATCATCAAATTGAAATGAAAATGCTGTTTGTTGTGAAAGATATGGAGTAAAAATCCATTGTTAAAGATTCATTGCAATACCTGTACTAATGATAATTATCATACATTTTTTTGTACATAATGTTTCGTTAAAAGCAGATCAGGCCTTAAAAACTAACAAAGTATGTCTTTTTTTCCAATTGCAAGACTGATCTCAATTTAAGGTGCCAACCTAAATGTCCTTTCTGTCACAATGTCACTACAATGCTGAAATGTAGGAGGATGACATTACATTTCAACTCACTCACTGTCCGGAAAATCAAAGCAGACAAATAAAACTCAACCAAGCACTGTTTGGTTTTGGATGGGTATTTTTAAAAGGCCAAAAAAATAAGAGTTAATTTTTGCTATTGCGGTTATAGAGCAATAGTACTAGACAGTGGTGAAATAGTTTTGCAATAGTTGCAGCTATGAGGCTTGTTAATAACATGAATCAAGTTGACAGACAATTGTACAAATATTGCTGACAATCATTTTCTTCCATGACACTGCTGACTCCAAAGGGAAGTAACTCTAATCTGAAGTCATCGGCTCCTTTGTAACCAACATACAGGCAGATTATAAATTAGCACAATTTATGTTCTATTTAACTAACTAGTAAACATCTCAATTACCAACAACACATTTGGCATTCTCATTCCCTGATGGAGTAGTATTATTCTAATGCAAACCAACCAAATACACTGACAATGAGATATATTGAGATAACACTAAAAGCTTCCTACTCTATTTTGAAATTAAGCACAATTGAAACCACAACAGTATTTTTATTATGTATGGAGTCAAGTAGTTTATCATAAAATCATGACATTTTGATACCTGTGATGAAAATATGGAATTTGAAACAGTAAAATTAAAGTATTATGTAACAATACTACCGTGCAACAGGAAAGTAATGGTGGAGAAAATCTTTCACACAGAGTTCAACAGGAAATGTTGATGAAAACAGAAACACATAATTTACACAAGAACTTACCAGATAAATACATTTTTTTCAAACTCGTGAACTTTGAACACTTCATTCATTTCAAGAAAGCATAAGAATTCTGACCTTTGCAAAGATAACTGAAGCAAAGTTTCTCCATCAAAACCTTGTTTTCAGATGAGAGGTTAAAAATATAACAGAAGCATATATGGACAAGTTGCCACAGCTAAGCTTAAATATTGCTGATACTGATAAAGCCATTTGAAGTTATAGTTATATATAGTGTGTACCATAATGGAGAGTGTGCGATGAACACTGTGACTTTTCCACCATGTGTTAAGCCTCCTCCACCAGCTTGTCCAGAGTAGAGTTTCAGACCTACTCTAAATCTGATCTACCTCATTAGATGGTATCCTGTTGTTAGTTTTTCCAGATTCTCTTCATCTAAACCTATTTCTACTGCCTCCTTTCTTACAATATTAAGGCCAGAAAAAAATATACTCTTTGTATGTACACTCTTCATATATACTGCTTTTAGCTGAATCTTATCACAGTGAATTATGCATGCAAATTACTTTTCAAAACAGTTTTTTTCTGTGGTTTGAAAAAGGGTGGGATTTAGTTATCAGCATTA